TATTAATTAAAAATATATAAGAAGATAAAGAAGAGAGAGAAAAGAAAAAAAAAAAAAAAAAAAAAAAAAAAAAAATGATAAAAGGGTCATTAAACAAAAAGACAAATAATATATAGATAAAGATATATGGAAGAAGAAATTTGTGGCGAGTACAGAATATAAGTACTAGTCGTCCTGAAGAAACTTGTCAAAAGGGTTAAGGTTCTAAGTGAAATATTATTAAGTTTGAAACTACTGACCAGGAAGAACGTTGTCCTAGATTAACTTGGGTTACGTCTTAAGTGTTCACCAAGGGACAGTGTGAGTTGCTATGGTTGGGGTGGAAATGGTGTTGTCGTTGTCGTTGTCGTTGTCGTTGTCGTTGTGTATTGGGGTCAGTGTGGTCCGTGCGGACGTTGTTTATGTTAGTAGATGTGATTATGATGATTATGAGTAGTTGTAGTTGTTGTATGGTTATTCCTGTGAAGATAATGATTGTGATGTTGGGGTCCTCCGTCGTCACAGTTGGAAGGTAGTGGGGTTGGTGGTTTCTTTTTCCTCCTCCAGCTAGTAGTGTTTTCTGAACCGCTCAACGTCCGAGCTAAATCTCACTTAATATGAGCGTTTGGGTTGGGGTAGTTTAGTCTTTCACTTTACCCATAGCAGTAGTACAGTGTCCTCTTCCTTTTCCGGTTGGTCCGGTTGGCTAGGAATGGGTAGGTCTAAGTCGCGCATCGCGCCGGATCGCGTGTCGGAGACCTACGTCTTTGGGTGGTTGCGGTTAACCTACTAGTTAACCTGTCCGAGTTATGTCTCCTACACTGCCAGCGACTTGAGTTCCTCTACGATGCTGTCGCACCTTTCGTCCGTTGGCCGTTTTTCCGCCAGGAGGAGAGTTCTGAAGAACTCCTCTTCTTCGTACAGTTCCCGGCGTTGTCTGAGAGCGTTGGGTGTGGCGCTGGGCAGTTCTTGAAATCACTATCTGCTGGGGTAAGGAAGGTCAGAGGGTACTTCTAGGTCGAAGGCCCTGGAGGCCTAAAGAGCAATAGGCGTGGTCCGAGGGGACCGAGAGGCAAAATGTCCAGGTAGCGGTTATACGTCTAATCAAGAGGTGGACGCGCGTCTATGAGAGGGATAAGCGGAGCGGACAGAAGGGGTCTAAGACCTTACTTGGTCACCCTGTTACCATCGAACTAGAGAGGACCTTCTTCCATAGTCTGCGGTTCGTGGCCGCCAGTTTTCAGTATGTTCGGGAAATGTAGCAGATGTAACCGATGAGGTCTATCTCTTCTCCTCCAGTTAGGCAAACTATAAATAATACGTTCAGTTGTCTGGTGTGGCTGCGTCTGCATACTCCTAGGTAGCCGTTTCTAACACCTAACCCTACATCTAAGAAATGAGTTTGTTCCATTATGTGTGTGTGTATGGAAAAATTTTACAACAGAAAACAACTGACATATAAATATCGCAGTGTTGTCCTAGGAAATAGTTTACTCCTAGACTATCGCCAAAATTTACTTTTGGTTAGGAATGAACTAGGTAGAAATAAACTGGAACCTCCTGGAGTTATTCAAGAAGCTCTACTTTTTTTTTTTTTTTTGTTTTTTTTTTTGTAATATTATTTATTTCGATTAGAGAAAAACCAATAATGCCGCATTAATTCAAAAAATGCGGCGAAATTGGAAAAATAGAAAAATAAAAATGTAACTGTTACCATCATTTATTACTTTTCTTTTCTCGCGTAAAAGAATTGACATATATATGTAGGTGAGGAAGTAAAATATATAGTGTTCAGAAAAAAGAAGAAAAAAAAAAGGAGACTATCGGCATTTTTATTTTACAAAAAAGTAAAAGTGTGGCGGATAGTGAATTGTTATTGTACAACTTGCAATGCCACTTGTGTTTTATTATTGATATTTTGCTTTTAATTCTGATAATTCGCGTCTTAGATAGTCATTCTCTTTTTGTAGTTGAGCATTTTCTTTAAGTGTAAGTTGAACCAGTTTATCAAGATGATCCAATGTGGTTGAGAGATCTTGAGATATTGGAGTTTGCCATTTGTTGTTGAATCTATTATGGTAATTAGTATTATTGGTCTCCCTTTTCTTTTTCTTTTCTTTACCGTTCTTCCGTTTCTTTCTTGTAATAATTATAATTATTATTCGCTTGATTATCTTTGTTTTTTACTAATGCAAAACTCAATTCTTGCAGCATTGATTTCTGTGTTTCATTAAACCTTATCAGTTCATCCAACTGCATGGAGAGTGTTGACGTTGCAGATGAGGATGACTTTGTTGTGTCGTAAGGATGGAGTGATTCTGTACTTCCACTACTACTATGATTATTATTACTGGATGTTGTCAGTTCAAATCTACCAATTTTTCTTGATGCCGACGATTCTGTCAAGACGGTATCCCCTGATCCGGTTGTGTTGTGTCTATTGCGTGATGATTCACGGGTGAGTGGTGATGATGATAAGGAACTCTCACGTGAAAGTAGGATGGGTGATGGATTGGAATGCATTTCAAAACGGGTTGATGATTTTCTGTCTATCAGCAATTATCATGATTAAAAAGTTGTTTTCTTATATCTCTGTCTATGTATATTTACCATGCTCTGGATTTGTAACATTATAAAGGTGAGAAACGAACTCATCTTCGTGTAACTGTTTTGAAGCTTGATTCAAGTGAAATCTACCTTTTGTGACTTCGTCCTAAAAATAAAGTTTTTTTAGATTATCTCTCTGTTGTTTCTGGTCTCCTCAAATCAAGAGAGAGAGATAGAGAGAATAAAAATAGGAACATACATGACCATCTTCTTCTAGCATTGAATGAGAAGAGTTAGATACCATCATTTCAGTACTATGGTGACTATTAGTAGTAGCAACAGGTTCACGTGAACCATCTTCTATAACAAAACGTGATTTTCTAGGTGGAGTTCCCACAGGAGGAGGAGATGAAGAATAAGAAGACGGAGGAAGAGCTGCTTCACCTGATACACTATTACTTCTTACAATCACATCCCCAAAAGAGATGTGTCTCTTTGGTGGCATGTACCTCTTTGTATTCTCTTCTGGTAAAGGTACAATATGTTGCTGTTCATTGTTATTTTCATTAAAATCCCATTCGTCTGTTGATGTTGTTGGTGTTGCTGCCTTTGCCTGTTTTTGGTGAGGGTTGTGTTTGCGTGGTCTTTGTTCCAAAGCGGGAAGTTCTGACAATATATTTTTAATGATGTAATCTTTTCGTTTTGTCTGCTTAAAGAATGGGTGAAGCGTCAGCTTTTCTGCTGTAGGTCTAAAATAAGAATAAGAATAATATGAGTACATAGTTATAGATAGAATGATGATGGTCCCTTTGGGTTACCGTTTATGTGGATCCTTTTGTAAACAAAGGTCAATCATATCTTTGAATAATTTAGAATATTTATGACTTGTTGTCTCTCTTTCCAGAGTAGGTGGATCACTCGAAAGGGTCATCATTAACACCTTTGAAAAATAAACAAATACTAGTTAGTTTTTCTTTTTGTTACATGTGATAAAGTTATTTACTTTTAGTGGGGGATATTTAGCAAAGGGAGCATGACCTGTGGCTAATTCTATAGCGGTAATACCAAAACTCCAAATATCAGCCTTGTAATCATATTCTGCTTGTTCCATCACTTCAGGTGCCATCCAACAAGGCTAAAACAGATATTTATTATTATTATACACTTTCACACACACACACACACACACACACACACGAGGATATTCCTTTTACTTACAGTGCCTACAAATGTCTTTCTCATACCCTTCTCACCAGTTTCCATTAAAGAAGAAGAGACACCAAAATCACCCAGTAAAACAGTGCCATCCTCATCCATTAATAGATTCCCCGCCTTTACATCTCTGTGAATATGACCATTTTTGTGTAAATAAACTAATCCCTCTAGTGCTTGTTTCAGGATAATCGCAATACTAAATTCATCTAATCCTTCTGAAAATCGTGTCTTCATAATATCAAGACATGACCCGCCTGCTAAATAAGGTGTAACGATATATAGTTTGGTGCCATGCAAAAAAGATCCATACACTCTAAGTACATTGGCGTGCTTGGAAAGTGCCATCAAGGATGTTTCTCTCTTTATTTTTGAAAAAAAAAAAAATTAATACTCCGTTCAGGTACCAAAAAAAAAATGTCTTTCTTCTTACTCGAAGCTCATCTATCTGATTGCGTTCAAACATGTCGAGATCAATCATTTTCAGGGCCATTCTTCTATTTAAAGGTTTGTAAATAGCCTTGTAAACAATAGCAGACGAGCCATAGCCTTTTTAATAAGAAAGGATATATATAAATACACAATAAGTTTAAAATAAAGAATTAAGCTTGCCTATGACTTCCTTTAGTTCAAAGTCTTCAAAGTGATTAAACTGATGTTCATACTGAGATGGGATTGGTGATAAAGGTTCTGATTTTCGATGTGTGGCAAGTAGTATTGGTTTTGGTTCCATATTGTAATCCATTTTCTTTTTTCTTTTTTTATTTATTTGATAAAAGTGAAAGAGAGAGAGAGCGAAACAATAAAAAAAGAGACAAATAAATACCATACACAAAATTTTTATTTATTTTTATTTATAATAAAAATGACGACAAGTTGTTACACTTGCTTTTTTTTCTGTTGCATTGATCTTGTTTAAGTGTAAAAGTGACTTTTTAAGGAGAAGAGAGTGTTATTTTTATATCTATTTTTTTTTATTGTTTATTTTATCTCCCTTTTCTCTCTCTCTCTCTCTCTCTCTCTCTCTCTCTCTCTCTCTCTTTTGTTTCTCTCTTATTTTATCGCGTTTATATTTATTCATGGATTCTACGCTCTCTTCACGCCCTATTACCAAAACTGCTGTAACCAAAATAAACACAACCGTACAATTCCCAAGAGGAGGAAGACAAATTGGAACTGAAACAGAACTTTCAAGAAGTACTTCAATAGAAAGAGGTAAAAAAAAAAAAAAAAAAAAAAAAGTATTTTTGTTGGATCTATTTATATTTTTTATTATTGTTGCTGTTGTTAGATCCTCCTTCAAAAAAGAGACACTTTTTTAATTTTGGTAAAAAGAAATGTAAGTGAATATAGCTATTACTATTTATTGTTTATTGTTTATTCAATTTAATTCTCATTATAATCGTAAAAAGCACATGGAGGAATAAGAAAAACTTCAAATGACTCTGAATTTTTACTCGAAAGAAAACGATCCTCTGGTTCATGTAAAAAGGTAAAAACAAAAGACAGTTTTTTACAACATCTTTATTCAAAAAAACCTTTTTTATAGGAGCTCCGACTAAAATGCACGTTTGGACATGTTTAAAAATCAACTTCTTTATTAAGCTTTATTTATTATATTTTATAGTGGATCAAAATTTTGAAAAGATGGATGAGATTTTAGTAAAAGATTATTCTAGACAAAATTCAATGGCCACATCGACAACGGTAAAGTATTATTATTATTATATATAACTTACAAATTCAACTCATATGCAACTTTTTTTAACAAAAGGATGATCAAGAATCCTGGCTTGCACCTGATAGTTGGGCAGTTCAACTTCCTCCCGATGGTAACGGTTGGGCAGGTCAAGACGATCCGGTCGATTTTGATGATTATAGAATTGATGATCAGGATGGTCCCAAGCAAACGGTAAGGAGGAATAGGGAGCGCGTTTATAAAAAAAAAAAAAAAAAAAAAGCTAAAAAAAAAAGGTGTTATAGGCAAACATAAAAATATACCGTGCAGATCAGACATACAATACACTTAATGTTTCGGTTCATGCAACTGCATATGATATTTTAAAGAAATTGGCCGCAAAATTCTTTTTATCAAATACAGTCAAATTTAATCTTGTCCTACGCAAATACAATCAAGGTAAACAAAACAAATGACAACAAAAAAAAAAAAGAGGAGAGAAAGAGAGTGTAATGAAAGTTAAAATAGAAATTATTTTATTTGTGTATGTGTGTGTTTTTGAAAAAAAAAAGAACGCAAGTTAGGATTATATGAAAAACCACTCCAAATTCAAAAAGTACTGCAAGATCAAATGGGTTACACAGATCAGGATTCGATAGAGGATATCAGTTATATTGTTCGATTCTATCTTGTACCCAACGTCACCCACCCAGCACCAGAGGAAAAGCCCTTTGAGCACCAAGTGGATATCAGTGGTAGATCTTTCTCCATTATCCCCATCTATCTCTTCAAGTATGCATCTCAGATTACCGTGTTGGATGTATCAAAAAACCTGCATATGGATATACCGCTTGATTTTTTACAGATCTGTAGCAACTTGACTCGATTTATTTTGGCAAATAATGATTACAGTGTATTACCACCATCGCTTACCTCGATTCATTGGTTGGAGCATCTGGATATTTCAGGCAACAAACTGGATAATTTGGTACCACTATCCACCTTGATTCTATTACAGTCACTCAAGGCAATCAACAACTTGCTCTTCACAATACCATCCGAGTTTGCACAGTTCCAGTGTTTATCCAGTTTGGCTATATCAAACAATTCATTTACAAAGTTTCCTATGGTTGTGTGTGAGATCACTAGCTTGACCTATCTCGATATCAGTTTTAATAAAATCACAGAGTTCCCCCATGAACTCGGTCAGTTATGCAACCTAAAAAGTCTCTTTGCTATTGCAAATAGAATCACGGGAATCCTGCCAGATTGCTTTACACAGCTGACACAACTCGAAGAGCTCGATGTTCGTCAGAATCTGATCACCGATCTCGATATCCTCTCGCACCTGCCTAAACTCGAGAGACTATTGGTCGATTTCAACTCGATTAGTATCGTGCACTGCAAGATCCAGGCACTCAGAACACTCAAGATGTACAAGAATCACATCACCCTGTTTGACTTTACGAGCTCTGACCCACATTGTCTGACCGAGCTCAACCTATCCAACTGTAAACTATCCACATTACCAGACGATCTCTTTACACATACACTCGGGCTAGAGAGGCTCTCCCTGGACTGTAATACCCTGAGCCGGCTCCCCATCAGCATCGGCTATCTGAGCAACCTGATGCGCATGTCCATCCAAAGTAACCATCTTGAATCCATCCCGTCCGAGATTGGACAGCTGGGTCAACTGAGGACACTGGAAGCCCAAAAAAACAATCTGAAATGGATACCCGAAGAGATCTGGCTCTGTGAATCGCTCTCCACACTCAACTGTTCATCCAACCTGCTCGAGACGTTCCCTGAACCGCCGCCGTCATTACTACTACCGAAGAGCGATCATCAGCATAAGACATCACCAGAGAGTCCCGTACCGAATTACAATAATAGTAACAGTAACAATAACAACAACAACAACAACAACATCCATCCACCAAAGTACCTTGTTAATCCACGAAACCACTCGCACAAGTTACGTAATCTCTTTTTGGGCGATAACCTCCTGACGGATGATATATGGTCTCCACTGTCTCTCTTTTTGGATCTGCGTGTGCTGAACCTGTCCTTCAATTATCTTTACGAGATCCCCGCCCATGGGCTCTGCCATGAGCACCTCTACGAGCTCTACCTCTCGGGGAACCAACTGACCTCGCTCCCCGCAGATGACATTGAGCGACTCCAATACCTTCGTGTGCTCGTCGTCAATGGCAATAAACTGCAGACCCTCCCTGCCGAGATTGGCAAGCTACGCAAACTACTCGTCCTGGATGTGGGCAACAACGTGCTCAAGTATAACATTGCCAACTGGCCTTACGACTGGAACTGGAACTGGAATTTGGGACTCAAGTACCTCAACCTCTCTGGTAACAAGCGACTGGAGATCCAGCGCAAGACACAAGACTATACGAATAACAACCACCAGGATAGGGACCTCTCTGATTTCAGCGCGCTCACCCGCCTCCGCATGCTTGGGCTGATGGACATCACCATCCTGGGGGTGTCCATCCCCGAGGAGTACCAGGACCGCCGTGTGCGCACCACGCCCTCCGAGGTCAACGGCATGTCGTACGGGATTGCAGATTGGCTGGGCTCCAGTGACCACCTCTCGACCTGGGACCTGGTGATGCCGCGCTACCGCTCCAACCAGGAGGAGAGCCTCTTTGGGCTGTTTGATGGGCTGGCACGCACCAAGACGGGCTGTCTCTTGAGCAAGCGACTGAACGACCTGCTGGTCTCGCAATTCACGCGCGAACTGAACGCCACCAAGAGCGACGATACCATCGTGTCGGCGATGCGTCGGGTGTTTCTCGGTATGGAGCAGAGCATTGCTATGGACCCCACGGTGCCCAAGGAGGCCGGCGCCGCCGCCCTCGTCTGCTACATTGCGGGCCATCGCATGTATGTGGCCAATGTCGGTGATGTCCAGGCCGTCATCTCGCGCAACAATGGTCAGGTGTTTGAGATTACGCAGAAACACATCCCACTCAACCCAAGCGAGGTCTCGCGGGTGCGTGCTGCCGGTGGGTTTGTGTCCAAGGCCGGCAAGCTCAATGACGCCTTGTCGGTGTCGCGGTGTTTTGGCCAGCTCGAGCACGTGCCCTCCATCAACTGCAATCCGTTTGTCTCCACCATCGACCTGGCCGAGAATGACGAGTTTGTCATTTTGGCCACCAAGGGTCTCTGGGACCGGATGTCCTACCAGACGGCCGTCGATATTGCGCGCACAGAGAAGCAGGACCTGATGACAGCGGCGTCCAAACTGCGCGACTTTGCCATCTCGTATGGCGCTACCGAGAACATCATGGTCATGGTCATTGGTGTGGGCGATAAGTTTGATAAGAGAACCAAGCGGAATAGGAACATGGGGAGAAGTAATGCGGATGAGGAGGCGTTGGTGGTGAAATCGAAAAGACGAGGTAAAGAGGAGATGCCGGGTGATTCAGTAAGTATTTTTTTTTGAGAGGGGATCTATATTATGAGAGCTCATCTATTTCTTTTTCATAAAAAAAAAAGACACTTGCCCGTTTGGAAAGAGAGGTGCTACCACCTGTCAATGAACTCGCCCTGGTGTTTACAGATATAAAAAGCTCCACGCAATTTTGGGAGACCCAGCCAGACAACATGCGCTCCGCCATCAAAATCCACGACGCCATTATGCGACGCACCCTTCGCAGTGTTGGTGGTTACGAGGTCAAGACGGAAGGCGATGCATTTATGGTCTGCTTCAAGAACATCACTGCTGCACTCCTCTGGTGCTTTACGGTTCAGCTTCAGCTTCTCGAGGCAGACTGGCCAGCCGGTATCCTGGATACCGATGAGGGGCGAGAGATTGAAAAAGACAACGTGGTCATCTACAAGGGCCTCTCTGTGCGTATGGGCATCCACTGGGGCACCCCCGTGTTTGAGCGAAACCCAATTACACAGCGCATGGACTATTTTGGTCCGGTGGTCAATAAGGCCAGTCGTATCTCTAGCGTGGCAGACGGTGGTCAGATCTGTGTTTCATCCGATGTG